TTCAGCTGATTACTAAAAACAGTAATTCATAACAGTTTGTTTTTATATTGTTATACAATCTTCACAAAAGGCCTAATTAAAGGTTTTTATAATTTTGTTCTGTATTTCCAGCAAAACTGAAGTAAGCCAATTGTAATATTTACTATTGCAAAATATTGTTTGCTTTTTGCTTATTGCTCCTTTATAAAAGTGAAGGACGATTGAAGCATTAACCTACCTTTTCAAATTCAATATTGATTTCTTTCATCATCTTGTCAAGTACAGTACTTAGTAATTTATAAGGAGATCTTGTTATTAGAGTAGAGATGTTTTCCAAGAAGAGTCCCACAAGGTGAGCTTATATTGCATTACAGTGTAATATTGCCAAGATGTCTTTGAACTGTGCAGAAACAAAGGCTTACAAGTAAGTTAAAGTACATTCTGATAGCTTGTGAACAACCTGATACCTCCTCAATAGCATTGAGAACATTTTTGAAGTTGAAAATGTTGTTAAAAAGGTTTTTATGAAAAGAGTGTTTTCATGCTGTACTGAAAGTACAGTATTTAACTATTACAACACAAACACACTATTAGTTTATGTTACAATAATCTAGTTTAAAGGCAACATTTTTATTCCCATACTGTACATTAAGTCGTGTGTCAATGATAACCCTACATTGTGAATTAAACTTGCTATACTGTAAGGAGGCAACACAGTTATGAAGTTCATTATGAAGTTTTATTTAGTTTTGAAGTTGTTACCAGCTGATTTGTAAGGAGGTTCATCAAGGAAGCTTGCCCTCCATTTAAGACTAAGCATAGTGGAAGTTTGTTAAAGCAACAAAGTTTAAAGCGTAACAATTCATACTTTTGCAGTTTTTGCATAGAAATATGTTTTTTAACTTTGTAACTTAAAGAAAATAAAAATTATAGAATTAAAATTAATGGTACAATGATTGCCTTATCTAAGAAATGTTGTAGGCTATTCAATCGGCGAAAACCCTCAACTAGTATACTTATACCTTAACTATGTATTCATTCTGATACACTTTACATCAATTTTAGGAGTAATGTACCTTTTAAATTGTTGATTAATAACTTTTTATGCTTTATCATTTATTTAAAACTTTAAGTTATATTCTCACCAATGCTTTTCATTAGTTTTCATCCACCTTTGTTGTTTAAATTACTTAGTTCCCTTAATACACATACCAAATATTTTCTTATTTTATTTTTAACAAGCTTTATTTACTAGCAATGCTCATAGTTGAACCGCGGATATACTGCAGTGAGAACTTACTGGTGCAAGATTGGTCATGTCGTATCATATGTCAGACTTATCTGCCTTGATACCATAACCTAGATAGAGAGAATTTATATGTTGAAAATCAGCTTTGCTTGTTTTCTATCTTATCACATGTATTTCCTGCTCTATTTATTTTGCAAACTTAAATAATTTAATAGGTTTGGAATTATTATAACCTTACTAGATGGCCCGACAGACGTCGTCCTGTCCTAATGAGGTTTTATGTCAAATGCTTGTTCATTTTCAAGATCCTGGTTCAAGCTTGTTCGCTACGCTCACTCACCTTTTGGTTGCAAATTAGCTGTTGACATAAATTACAAAAAAATTATGTCACTGCACCCTGTTGGTAAACTTATTAACTTTTTAATGCTATTGAACATCAAGAATCAAATTGCTTAGTTGAACCAGCTGTTAAAAGATTCTTTAATTCCATTTAAATATGAGTAATCATAAGGTTAACATGGGAAACTCCAGAGCCACTGGGGTGGAGCCCTTTTGACGGATCTGCACCAGACTTCACACAAACCATCATTGAATAATGCTTAATAATGCCTGAAAGTTTCATTACAATCTGTCGAGCGGTTTTGGAGTCCATAAAGGACAAACAATCAAACAAACAAACATACATACAAACAAACATACATTGGATTGTTTTATATATAGATAGTTGATGTAGAGATATATTCTTGGTGTTTACAAACTCTTATCATTTGTTCCTTAGGTCAAAACAATGACAAAAAATCTTATAATCATAGGTCTAAAATGCCTGGTTTTCTATCTGTCTGTCTGTATGTGATTTTTAACAAATGTATCCATAACTTTTGAACATAGTACATAAGTAGTGACCATTGATAGGACTACAATTTACACTAAGTACTACATTTCTAAACGTCACCCATTCCAAATGGCAACCATTTAAAGTTTTCTTTTTTAAATATCTAGAAAACTAGTGATTTTAATAAAAATTATCAAGAGTGTTTTTATAAAATTATACAACTAATCCAACAATAACTCAATCGTAAATATTGGTATCAACCATTTCAATATCAGTGGTCAAATATTTCCTTTTCGAATACAAGGTTTTTAGTAACTAAGAGATGTGTTGGAGTTTAATCTAACTAATAGCTTGGCAGAGTAATCAATATTCATGTCGGTAGTATTCAGTTCGGTACACTTCTCAGGGAATTAAAAGATTACCATAGTAGTGTCATAGTGTTTTTTAACAGTATATTTTTAAATTACCTACATTTAAGTTGGATAAAACGATTTTAACAACATGCATATCTTCATTATTAAGTATGTTAACATTGAATATTGACAAGTTTTTGCAGAATACCCTACCAAGGTTATTTCAACAGTGACATTGTTTACTCAGACGTAATACTCTGCACATCTCAATTATCTCAATACATAGAGTAGGTATAAGCTACTTCCAGGTTTGCCATTAAGTTATTGTTACAAGAAACAATTTATTGTTAGTGTTTTATTTTGACAAAAGCTAAGCTATTGCGTTTCCAAATTAGATTTAATGCTACAAAATTCCCCCCTCCACCCCAAAAAAGGGGTTAAACTCCTTTGTGACATGAGATGTGAGGAGACAAAAGTAATTCCTCCCCTCTTCTTTCTGTGTGTTTTAATCTGCAAAAACTGTTGGATCAATCGAGTTTTTACAGTGATCCAATTTACATCATGTCAAGGTTCCTTTATTTTATTCCTTGTCCTACCTAATATTTGTATACTACTACTATATTTGTTTACTATTCTTCAAGGAATTTCACCTTTAAAGTAAATTGTGTCAAATCATTGATACATCAAAATATTGTCTACTTCTCTGATGTTTATCCTAAGACTGTAATAAAGCAATTTCTGTATTAAGTACGGCTTTTCCTACAGTGGCTGATTTCAGTGGCAGTTTATCTAACAAAGAAAATAAGCGTAGCAATTATTCAGCTACAACTTAAAATGATTTTTTTCTCTAAGTAGTGTTCTTTCAATGCTTTTAAATTGAAAATGAGTAAAATGTGTTTAATTATAAACAGTTAATTACTCCCTATAAAAGATATACACAAAAGGAAATTTTATTTTGATCAGAGGATCAAATTTATATTCACCAAACGAAGCTAAAGGTCAGTGTGGGCAGCTAGCAGGATCCAACTTTAATATCATCGCAAGATGTTTACTGCATTCTAATTAAATAACTCTTTAGCCATTTATTATATTGGAATATAACATGATGGTTGTACGTATACTGTACAGTAATAGCTATATTTTAATCTTTCCTACATAAACCTACTTTATTCATTACACTCAACCTTCATTCACACCTACCTTCTATATATTTAATTACGTAAGGCGATTCTTTGCGTCAAAATTGTGGGCGACTGGCAATTCGTAGAACGATGGGAGAGGGCTCAAATTAAAGGTCTCTATTCCCTGACGGCAGGAAAAATAGTGAAATTCCAAACATTTATATTACAAAATTAGATACTATAACGTAAAATGTGCTCTATAAGAATAGCATTAGAAGCCATTTACAGGGGGTTTTGTTTAATACAGCTGATCGTGATTTATCATTACACCAGTACGCGATATCTTATTAGCCAGTCAATTCTGCAATGTACTATATACTATATAAAACAAGGGATTACGTTACCTATAGTTTAGACTTTGTCTTAGAATGTTAAATCAATTGTCAATTTTTTTTATATTTTAATGTAAATGAGGTGTTAGCCCGTCCTACGTACGGGAATTCAGTAGTCAGTTTAAACCGTGTACAATTCAGATCAGCTAGTTTACACATATAAAGACAAAGTTTCTTGCAGTTTTAATGTGAAAAATCATCTTGTAAACAAATGTTGTGTGACCAAATATGTTTTTAGTCCATCATTATTTGTATAACTGTGTATAACAGTTAAAATATTTGATACAGAGAAAATTTGATTATTAGTAGTATTTCTTTAAATACTACTTATTACAATAATTTGTTTGACATTTGAGCTTTTTAGGGACTTTACTACCAGCCACTATTCAATTTTATTTTAAACAATTTACTACCTCTTTATTAGACTACATGCATACAATGAACTGTTCCAATCCATTAAATCAGTGCTTACTGAGGTGTTTCAACTTGATCGAAATAGGACTGCTCCCTTTCGTCTAGCAAGCATCGTCTAATATCCCAACCTCTTACTCCAACTGTTTTGCAAATTATGCTGTCCACAAAAATAATTGTGACCAAAATATTAAATTGAAGTTAAAAAATACAGGCTGGTGGGAAATTGTAACCAATTCGGTTAAATAAGACTAGTTCATTAAGCCATCAGTTCATAGTTATGAACGTCTCATTAAGACCTGTTTCACACTAGTTAGGTCCGAACCTGGGTTTGGGTCGGACAAAAATGTTTTAGTCATCAAATCTTATAATGAGTATACTATGTATGTGTATATTAAGTTCATACTACTATATTGGGTGCGCTCGTACAATCGAAACCACTGTCTGGGTTCAAATCTCGACGATCACCAATAGATTTTATCCACGCCTTGATATAAAAATATTGTAATTGTAATGTTTTTTTTGGTTGATGGGGAGGTGTGGTGTAGTTAATAGTTGCAATTTGTTGCAGAACCACAGAGTACAACAGTTTTTTAGTCAATTAGTACCACATTTTTGTCATAGAACCGTAGAGTACATTAGTGACATATGTTTTGTTTGCAGCACACTGGTGCCGTGGAAGGTGTTCAGACAAGCGCTCAACGAGGTTCATCCCATCAGCTCGGGTCTAGAAGCCATGGCACTCAAGTCAACAATCGACCTCACGTGCAACGACTACATCTCCAACTTTGAGTTCGACGTCTTTACAAGGTTCGTACTTTGATTTTATTTCTTAGTTTGTTAGTGAATTTCCCATATAGGGAATAACCTATTACCGTAGGCCTCATGGTTAGACGTTGACCCAGGAACGACTTTCATTTTTGTTTTGATGTCCCCAGAGGCCAGAAACACCATCGGTTCAAATATTTATTTCAGCGCATTTGTCTATTAGTTTTCACGTGTTTAAATATGTGACATACTTTCAAACATTGAAAATTTTACATTTACGATATTAGTAAGATACAAAAAATTCATTAGCGTAAAGTTTTCTAACAAGACTTTTTTTCTGATTTAGAGAAAATGAATAGTGTGACCTGTCCTTCAAAAAATCACAAGAACCTATTCACAAGCTCAATAAAAATTTGTCTACACCTAAGCAACATAGACCATAATGTCATGAACTCTTAAATTTAGTAATCTAGATTTAGGTATCTTATCTAGAATTAAATTTTCTATTAATATAAAAACGTTTAGGTAGGTGCATTTAATAGGACAAGTAATGTAATTAGTTATGACATATTTCAATTTAAAAGAAAAATATAGATTTCCCTTGATGGGATGAAAATACACGTTTTCTTTGATGTGATAAACTAAAGATGTCAAGTGAAAGATATACAATAACCCTTTTTTATGTTTATGATGTGGTATATGATCCATATAATGAAAGACATAAAGACAAGACAGTGAGAACTTTATGATGTATTTCAGAGATTCAACGTTTGTCTCAAGTGGTTTTATTGAGATTAATAAATTCAGTACAGTATGTCTCCATAATAGATATTTAATTAATTCAACTTTTTTTAAAATAGCTAAAATTAATTTTGTTATTTTTGTATAACTTTTGTTTTAATGTTACAAAATATTACTCTCTATTCATAACACTCTATTCATATGTCACTTTTTGTCTGTGTTAAAAGCTGAACACAAAACAAATGGTGTTTTCAATGGAAGGGTCATTTACATTTCAAATAGAGTTATTGGTGGACATAAGTCTGTTAATCCCTTCATTTGTTTGCTCATACATTTCAAGTATGAAAACATAATTTAATTTTTGCTCTGGCATTACATTTTAATTTTTATCAATACGTGTTAGTGTTAATTCCGCAATTGAATCTTTAGAAAAATCTCTTGAAAAATACACTATTAGAATGCGTTTTGGATTTTAAAGTGTCAAGTAATTTCGTACCTAATATTAAAACGGCTCCTAGTTCTACCAACCTGACAAAGTACGTTAATTAACTGCTGCCAACTCAAAAAGTTGACCTCCTTCAGTAACGCCACGCATGTGGGCTGTGCAACTTGTTTTGACTCGGTTTGTTCAAACTTTTATATTATCTTGTTACAACCTGCTTTGTTGCGAATTAATTACCTTGAAACTTGTTGCAAATTGAAAACTTTGGATGTCCACATTTTTTATGCGTGGCCGTGTCTACCCCAAAACAAACAGAAACCACAGCAACAATTTTAAACAGGAAAACAATAATTTTGTCCTTTCACTACAAGCCAATGAGAATCCTTTTGAAAATCATTCCATGATATTATTTAATACTTTGATTTATGTGATTTTTAAATCTATGGTTAACAATAAATCTATGTTTTGTAATGATAGCCTCTTAAAGCAGAATGTTTTTAAACTTTCTGCAACGGACTTGGAAAAATGCAAAAATTTTCCTTCAGGCTTACACAGTCCAAGTTACTGTAAATGAACCAACCGCATGTGTGACAGTTTTAATGAATATTTGGAAATAAATAAGTTTTCAAACGCTGCTATCCGTTTGAATACGCCTACAATTGTTGCTGCAGAAAATATAGTTTTTAACTTTCTACGGATATGTTTTCTGCAAAAAACAATTTGATCAACTTGTTATGGAGCATTTTCTGCAGAAACTTCAGGTTGGGTGTAAGAAAGTACCGTGTAGCTCTAACTTTGCCTATAAAATAAGTACTGTAGGCCTAATTGTTCATTTAAAAAATTGGGGGATAGGCTGTGCTTTCTGCAGTCCTTGCTGTTTTTCTGTGACAATGTCCCACTGTCCCGCAGTTCTGCTTTGAGAATTATAATGGTTAATATCTTGTCCACTAATCTTTCTGAGAGAAATTCTCCAACTGAATGTAATGTTTATTACGAAATCCAGTTTCTAGTTTGTCCCAAGTTTGTAGTCTTGTTTTCTAAGTTGTAAAGCTTTGCTTTGTAACCAAAGAAGTTAAATGTAGTTTAGTTGTATAAGTAAAATACTAACTGCACCCACATCAAGTTCTGTTTATTTCATACTTCTTGATCAACATATACAACAGGCTGTGTCCTGATCATAAGAAATATTCATAAACATAATTCGTTGTTGAGTTTGTTGAAATTGTATGGTAGGCAAAACTTCATTATAGACTCATATGTACTTTAATTATGAAGTAATAATAAATTGGTTTTTATTAAAAGTAATTGTATTCCCAGAAAGTTTTAGGGAAGCAAAAACTATTTTAATATATAAAGGGAATGATCCCGCTGATCCTGCTAATTGGAGACCAATTTCAGTCTGTTCAACTCTTAGAAGATTGATAGAGAGAGTGCTGGAGAAAAGAACAAGAAATTACATAGAACTTAATGTCAACCAAAGAGGGTTTGTAGCTCAACCTGGAGCCTTCATAAACCTAGCCCTGGTCAATGGATGTTTACAAGATACAAAAACGAATAAAAAAGACTGTATGATTGCTATGTTAGATGTTTCAAAGGCATTTGATTTTATTGGTCACGCACATTTAAAAAGATGTCTCCAATCAACAGAAATGCCTTCAATATTAAAAAACTTGTTAATAAATTTAATACAAGATAACTATACAAGAATTAGGATTAAAAATACTAAATCTGAAAAAATTTTATTGAAAAGAGGTGTTTTTCAAGGGTCTCCCCTTTCTCCAATCTTTTTTAATCTAGCTATAAATGATATCTTAAATACTATTTCAGAAAAAGAAGTATCTAACAAATTTGGATATAACATTAATTCTAATTTAGACAATATTAGCATCGCTGCCTTTGCAGATGACATAGTGTTATTCTCTAACACAGAAAAATCAATGTCTAAATTGATTAGGACAACAAAAGAACTACTTTCTCAAATTGACCTTGATATTAATATAAATAAATCAAAAATAATTAATATTAAGAAAGGAAAACTTGTTGAAGAGGACATCTACATTGAAAATTAACAAAATGTTATTAAATTCAATACTCTAAAACTTGGGGAAAAAATTAAATATCTTGGTGTAAATTTTGAAAATGAAATAGTTTTTGATAGGTGTGAAGTTATACAAAACTTTCAAAAAGATCTAGAAAGATTAGTTGGAACTAATGTTTTAGGTCCAAATCAGAAATTGAATATCATAAATCAGTACCTCTGGCCTAGACTAACATATATTTTGCAAGTAACACCAAACGAATTAATAAGTATTACATTTCTTGAGGACATCGATAAAATTATTAGAAGTGCAGTAAAAGAAATTCTCACTCTACCAAGTGACACACCCAATTCTTTCTTATATTCCCCTAAAAGGTTCAAAGGTCTGGGAATAATTCGAGCAAAATGGGAAAGTTCTATACAGCATATAAATATGTGTGTAATTCTAAAAAACGTACAAAATAGCCATGTAAACGAGCTAATAAACATCCCCCAAAGAATTACCATGTCACTTCAAAAACTTCAAATAGAAATTGATGATATTTTTACACATGATTTTGAATTTAAAGAGAAAAAAAGAATTGGTTTAAATTTGAGATCAAAATTACAGTTGAAAGAATTTGAACTTTGGTCTAAATTACCATGTAAAGGTAGAGGAATAGAATTATTCAAAGAAGTGCCTAGTAGCAACACATGGATTTATTTAAAAAATGGCCTTACAACAGGAGAATGGATCACTTCATTAAAAATGATATCTGGTGTTGTACTAGTACGCAGCGTACCAGGGCGAAGCCAGGATGGAACCCTTTGCAGACATTGCAAGGAGCCTGAAACCCTTCCGCATGTCCTTGGCTCTTGTCCCTTTGGTGCCTTACTGCGTAATGCAAGACACCATGCTGTAAGAGCAATGATCGCAGAAGAACTACGAAAAAAAGGCTGGCAAGTAGTAGAAGAAATACATTGCACTGAAGATGGTGGATCGAACAGAAGATTGGACATTTTAATTTATGATACAAAATCTAAAAGTGGAATTGTAATTGATCCAACAATAAGGTTCGAAACATCATCAAACCAACCCCTAGAAGTAGATGAAGAAAAGAGGAAAATTTATAGTAAATGTGAAACTTATTTAAGAAACAAATATAATCTAAATTCAATATCAGTAATTGGCATAATGATTGGTGCAAGAGGGACTATTACAAAATTTTTTGACGAATTTTTAAAAAAATATAATCTTTCATCAAAATTAAAAAATGAAATAGTCATAAAAGTGCTAAAAGAATCATGTAAAATCATTCAAAATCATTTATATGGACAACGTTATTAATCTATGTTACATGTTATTTATATCGTAAATTTAAGTTTTTTTTTACTGTGTCTAATAGGCAAAGTTTATTAATAAACTCAGTTTTCAAAATAAAAAATAATATGAATATTGAATAGTAATAAATATAGCCTAATTTAGCTTAACGAATATGGCATTCTGTTATTCTCATAACCAAGTGGTTACTTTGTTCGATAAGACAACAGTTTTCATTAAAAGCAATATTTGCAGAGTGAATGTCACAGTTGGTTTAGCTTTATTCTGAACATTGTTATGACAGTTTTTGCCAGGGAAAGAATCTTTGATCTGTCTTTGTTTTGGATCATAAGAAAATTTATTGAAGTCATTCCTTACATGAACTTTTTTGTTTAAAACTAATGAGTTGGAATAATTTTTACGGGAAAATTTTTTTTATTGTCAAGTATATTAATTTATATAGATTAATCAACATGTTGGAATGAAAAGAATGTGTTTAAAATACGTAAAAAATAATTGAACTGCAATTAAAGTAGAGCGCCAAGTATTTGCTGTCTATTTAAAATGTTGATCCTTTAATTCTATATTTTGCTAATGTAATTTTTAGTTTGTTTTGTTAATATTTCAGCAGACCATCAGTAAAAACTTTTACTACTTTTATTATTAAAACTTAGAGTTCATTAACTATAAAATAAGATAGGTTTAACCCCTTCATGTTGTTCTGTTTTAATTTTCATCCATTCTATTCTTATTTCAGTGATCAATAATTGATTATTACTTTTAAAGAAACTAACAAAATTAACTTTGTTGATATAACATGTTATTTAGATATTTATTTTTTTATGCATCCCCTAACGTTTGTATGAAATGTCACAAAGTTTTATTTTGGAAACATGACTTTAAATCCAACCCATGGGATAAAATTCTACTAATGATTATGCGTATATTTTAAATGTCAATCCTAATACCCTAATGTGGCGACACAATTTGTAATAGACCTAACCTCATAATCTTTATAGGCTACATTTAAAAAAACCTAAGATTTGGCTAGCTAGTCCAAGTGAATGTGGTGGGGGGGGGGTTTAATATAAAGATTGTCGATGATGTTATTCTCCTACTATTTAATCTATGAAGGAGTTTGATCGAGAAACTATTTTTTTGGTGGGATTTTCACAAAATAGTGATCTCAGTAATCAAGGTCATCAAGTAAATGAGGTAAATAAATTAGTCGTTATATCAGTAGGCATTAGTAATAAGATAATTTTGAAATAACTACAACATTTTGAAGCCTACTTGGCCCACCCTCTGGAGCCGCCCCTGGTGAGCTGGTCTACTGATAGGGCCTCGGTCTTGAGGTCACGGTGTTCAGATCCAACCACTGACCAATAGTCTTTAGCTTTGTTCCCTAAGGACAATGTTAAATGTGTCTAGTGTCCCAGGATAATTATTGGATCAGTAACCCAATACATTTCAGAGTCAGTATGTTACAGCATGGTCGGTGTCATGTTACAGGTTGTTCCAGCCTTGGTCGTCGCTGCTGCGTAACTGGCAGATCCTGGCTGTAACACACCCCGGCTATGTGGCCTTCCTCACCTACGATGAAGTCAAGGCTCGGCTGCAGAAGTACATCAACAAACCTGGAAGGTACGCAGTGTTGCTGCATAATGTTTCTGGTTTTGACCATTAGAGCACACAGTATCACTTTTTTAGATTTTGTCTTATGATTTTAGTATGTTAAAGCTTTTTTTTAATACTAGATGTTAAAATAGCTTAATCCATCAATGTGGTCATGTCGCCGATGAAGGCGACCGGTTTCAACCTATCAGAGGAGTCACCTTCAGGCGAAGAATGGACAGTTACCCCGAAGAGGTTGTCAAAAAGTCAATAAATACGAAACAAAGAACAGTAACACTTAAAACACATTTTTACAAAAAACACGTGTGGCCACAAATCGACTGCGCGGCTGACGGTATGCATATATTGAGTTACAAGTGTCCACTTTAGTGTTATTACTATATTTCATATATAGTTGGGTAGCTTCTCGAGTGGTTATAGTGTTCGGTGAATAATCAGAAGTTTGTTGGTTCAATCTTGTGAAAAGCCAGTTGCTTTTTGAACTGGAACCAACTAGCCATGGTCGTGGCTAAGGAAGCAGCTAATCTCAGTCATTAACAAAGCTATCATCCCATCCGTTCAACACTCATCTTTTAGTTATAATAGACACCCTCTGGCATGTAAGGGTTGAAAAAATATAATCTATTAAGTTTTAGGGCCAGTGGTCTTTTGGTTTTGTTTAGTTTGCTCTTTTTGTAAATCACACCGTTCAATGCTAATTGATATCTTTAAAACTCTGAGAACCGTCAGTTATCAAACGTAGCTCTCATTCATTTTTGTAAGTACTTGTTAATATTCAGCTAGTCTCGACTGTAAAAGGTACACATATTATTGGGTATGACAATAAGTGTGATTCAATCATGTCTTTAATGCTCATATTTTGGTTAGGACCTAGTAGTGTTATAGTTAATGAAAGTTGTCTCATTTACTAATACACTGTGGGTAGAACGTCTGCAATGCAATACAATCAGCTTTGACGAGGAACTGTATAACTTGAAGGAGTGGTTAGCAAGTTGTCGGGGCTTAGAAGTTAAAGTCTGTGTTACAGTTACAGCAAACTTTGGATGCTGACTTGGCTCTGTTGTTTGTTACTTACCTTGTTTGTTAGGTTGTGGGAGGGAACCGCTGAACTACTGACGTAACTTCTCGTAACATTTTGTTTTGAAATTTGAAATTCGTAACTGCCACCTGTAATGCATACCATTTGTTGTATATTTTTGTGTGTAAATTATTTATTATTTTCATTTATTTTTCAATAGTCACTGATCTGTAGTAAACAATTTAAACATAATTCAAAGGTTTGGACACTATCCAACAATATAAGAAAAACGTACTGTCACTTCTTCATGCAATATGTACTGTGGCAACGGCCCGCTTCATCTGCTCACCAAAAGATATCTTGCTGTCAATCATAACATATAGGTATTTGGCATTAGGATTTGTCTCCAGTTGGTCATGGTCAACTTGCACAGGAAGGATGGTGGGCCACTAGGCTTTTGTTAGGCTCTTTTCGGTGAGGACCACGATCTTGATCTTACCGACTGCCAGAGATAAGCACTGATCCCAAACAAAAAAAAAACAATATTTTGAAACAAAAAGTGAACTCAATGAAAAGGAAACAACTAAAACAAAAAGAAACCTAACAGCTTATGTATCTTCAATATTTATGTGCTTCACTTCAATAAAGCCCTTTAATTGATGTTCCTGCACTTTTGAAAGGGTTTATTGGAAAACTGAGATTTTTAGGGGAATTTTCACATTAATACCTTTTATTCAAGTATATGTTTGACAGGTGTGCAGCTTACGGTTTTCTCAAATGTTCAGATCCTTCTTAGCTTAATATACAGATTTTTATTATTGTGTAACAGGCATAATACTTACTTAATTCATACAGCTCAAGGACTCAATCACTCTTTGTATTGTTAGCAAAAGTCTAAGAGGGATTTTTAGTGCTAGTTTTGACTTTTAACATTTTGACAAGAAGAATGATTTTAGGCATATTGAACAGTTTTCTAATACTGTATTGACATTCCACAACCCAAAAATTAGGAAACAAGAAATATTAAAAAACTAGCAGAGTACCCGTCCTTATACAGTAAGTGTAAAATGCTTATTGCCGTTATAACTAAGCGTTTGCAATGGGGGAGGACACAGTTTGATAAAATTTGGTTCTTTAAATTTACGGTATACTATAGTATTACACATCTACCATAGCCATAATGTTCTACCACTTCACCTAAACAATGGAGAAAAATAAATTATTAAACATTCGCAAAATATCACAAATTATTCATGCAATTAAAAAATTAATCATAACAACAACAAACGTAAACAATCATACTTTGACAGTTCTCATTGCCTATCATAGTTTTTTGTTGCTGCTTAGTTAAAATTAGCTGTTTTCATAAATGCAAAAAAATAATAGTGCTGCACCCTGTTGGTAAATGTAATAACTTTTTAATACTTTTGCATATCATTGAACCAACTTTTTTAGTTGAAACAGCTGACTAAATTCTTTAATTCCATTTAAATATGAATACTCATAAGGTTAACATGGGAGACTACAGAGCCACTGGGGCGGAGCCCGAAAGGATTTTTGTGATAAAAATATGCCTATATGTTAATCGGGAATATGAGCTATCATCATGCCAAATTTTAGTCCAATCCGTCCATTAGTTAATGCGTGATTGAACTTCAAACAAACAAACAAACAAACAAACACACAAACTTTCACATTTATAATATTAGTAAGATATATATCTAGTCTTGAACTCCTTCAACCGATTTGAAGTATGGGTTATCTGCTATTTACTACCTCTCTGTACTAATTATATTAATTTTTCTTCATACATTTCTCAATATTATCTTTTTTTTCTCAATATTAATTTTTCTTTTCTAAGTTAATTGTACAATATCTGTTAACCAATTTATTAAAATAGCTGATTTTATAATTTTCTTTTACATTAAATAGTATATTTTACATTTTGCCAAAGTTAACATTTTGTGTATGGACATTATTTTGCTTTTCCTAAATACTTATTTCAGCTATGAGTAACTCAGTATTGAGGTAGCTTCTTTCGTCTTTGTGTAGTGATATAAGTTTAATAGTAATTTTTATAATTGATTACCGTTTGATAAATTTGTGCCAGTTAGGACCGGTTTAACACTCATGATGTTTCTTCCTTTAATTTAAGTTTGAGTTTGGATAAAGCGGACCTTAGAAGTAGTTTAAAAATTAAAATAATACTGTTGAATTAGGGACTGACTCTTGGTAAAGTTTCACCCCTTTGTGAAACACATACAAAGCTGTTGTAAGCAGACTATGGAAATGACAGTTTAAATTTACCCTGGGGGCTATACACCATCATTTCAGTGCCTGACTTTGATCTTGGTTTTGCTGTTGTAAACAGTGCTATGTTGATAAAGAACATAACATTTATCATTAACATTTTAAGGACATAACAATTTAACAACTCTCAATAACTAGGCTGAGTTTTTAACACCTAACTGTAAAAAAACTAGAGAAAATATCAATTGTTAGTTTGATCTCAAATGGTGATGTCTTCCATCTTGTCTAGGTACTACTACAAAATTAAACCTATTATACATGAAAATATTGTCTTACACAACCAAGTACCAGATTTAATTGATCTTAACTTCTTCCTAATTAAGAACTAATATTTTTTACATAAACCTTCATTTTATTTTATAGTACTGTAGTGTTTTATAGAATGATCACTGCCCATGAATACTCAGGATAAAACATATTCACATTTCTGTAAATATTTTCTTCTGCAAAGTGATTTGTATGCTAATATTCTTCAGGTGCAAAGTCAGCGACTCATGTTTGATGGTTTAAAACACCTTGTTCTTGTTGTCTAACTGCTGTTAGTTAATCCAACTATTTTTATCATTTAAAATTATTATCAGTTTTAATTTTTGGCTGGATACCATTATTTTAAAGTTGAATTGTAATTTTTTTCACTTTTCAAAAAGGTTTATATTTTTGTATGATTACTAAGTCACCATAATCATTCTAAACCTATGTGTTGCTGTAAATTAATAAAATAAGATTAGATGTATTTGACCAGACACCTTGATGAGTGTTAATAAATAATATAGATCATTCTTCATGACAAAACTGTTGACATTGGTTTCAATGAAATTTAAAATGAAAATTTCATTAATATTCTATTATTATTTAATTTTAAGACGGATCAGCTTAAATTGACGGGATCATTTTCAAGTCCAAAGATCAAGGACATCTGATTTAAGTTTTATACTAATGTAGACTCTTGTTCTGTCTAGCTATGTGTTCCGTCTGAGCTGTACCAGGCTAGGACAGTGGGCCATCGGATATGTGACAGGGGACGGAGACATCTTGCAGACCATCCCACAGAACAAGTCTCTTTGTCAAGCACTACTGGATGGCCACAGAGAAGGATTGTAAGTTGACCAGATTAACTGTACAATATTTAGATAACAATTGCATAAGTATTAAATGTATTATTCACTATGCAAACCTTAAAATAATTATGTTTGGTCTCACGGATTTAAATTAGTTTGTTTGAATTACTGTAATTCCTTTTTTTATTGTATTTTGTTCAATTGGGTCATTCAAATGTTATTGTTGAACAATTATTCTTTTAGTAAACAAACTTACAGGCTATCCACACATTTGTATAAAATTCTATATTTTTTATGTTAATAATAATTGTATTTTCTTAGTTACCTCTACCCAGACGGACGTAACGTCAACCCAGACTTATCTTGGGCTGTGCAACCTACTCCTGAGGACCACATCAAGGTATGGAACATTCAATAACTTAATAGTGTAGTAATTCCTGTGTGCCACAAAGATCAATATAACAGCCAAGTAAAGTAACACAGCCAAACTTTTACTTACACCTAGGTAACAGCTGAAAGCTATGCTGGGGCTTTTTGTTGGCCAGTGTTGTTAGTATGGTAAACATTTTGGAACCAGGTTATCCAATATTAGTGTTTGTAATAGGTTACTCACTATCGTTGTTGGTAACAGATTACTCATTATAATTGCTTGTAATAGGTTACTCACTATCATTGTCGGTAACAGATTACTCATTATCATTGCTTGTAATAGGTTACTCACTATCATTGTTGGTAACAGATTACTCATCATCATTGCTTGTAATAGGTTACTCACTATCATTGTTGGCAACAGATTACTCATGATAATTGCTTGTAATAGATTACTCACTATCGTTAACGGTAACAGATTACTCATCATCATAGTTTGTAATAGGTCTAGGTTACTCATTACCATTGCTTGTATTAGGTTACTCATTATTATTGTTTGCAATATATAAATATTGTTGTCTGTACTGTAACAGTTTACTCATCATCATTGTATGTTTAACAGGTTACTCAGGAGCAGTACGAGCTGTATTGTGAGATGGGCTCCACGTTCCAACTGTGCAAGATCTGTGCAGAGAATGACAAAGACATCCGGATAGAACCTTGCGGTCACCTGCTGTGTACACCGTGTCTTACGTCTTGGCAGGTAGTTGTGTACATTCCACCCTACATCAAAAAAATATTTAATGTTAAACTATGGAAAAAGCATTTTTTTGGATAGCGAAATTTGAAAAATTCATTAATATGATTTTTACTAATCATAAAAAGGGTTTTGTTTGTCTACAAAATTGGTCGATAGATCTTTCACATTCATTTCCTGCAGAGTATTTGTTTTTTATGCATCTTTACTAACTACAGCGGATTTTGAATAGTTGAAACTTTGAAGGACTATTAAAAAAGTTAAACTGTTAAAAAATGTGATTTGGAGATGTTTAGTATTTGAAAATAAAAATTTACAATTTTTACAACTGCATAACCACATGTAGAGAGTTTAAGGGTTTATTGTATCTTAAGGTATTCCACAGAAACTGGCCAATGGCCAAAAAACGTAGCCGATGTTGAGTTTAGTACTACCATTTATATATGGTAGTATTAAGAACTAAGAGATAAATTTGAATTAAAATTATGTAATGAAGGAAGTTTGTTCCACTATATAGGCATTGCAGAGGCTAGTCAATCGCAGGTGTCACTGTACCCTCGCATTATGTTACTTGTGAGAATGACTGTTTAACTCTGGTTTTGTTGTAGGATTCGGAGGGGCAAGGCTGTCCGTTCTGCCGGGCTGAGATCAAGGGCACAGAACAGATCGTGGTGGACCCGTTTGACCCGAGGAGGCAGCACAAGGCGGGGACCATCACAGTGGACCCGGACGATGATGATGAGGTAGTGGAGCACGATCAGGATGTGTAACTCACCCGGGCACAGCCAATCAGAGACATGCGTTTCAATTACGCATTTTAAATGCGTTAATATTCCTGAAATATAGAATATACATGCAGAATGGACCTTTCCCTTAAGTTGAGACAATCGTAACACAAACAGGATTAAAAGTAATTATTTTTCTATATCCTGTTATTGTTGTTATTTTTACAAGCAGTATTATGATAACTGAGCTTATATTTAAGTTAAAAACAGTTTCTAACCTAAGTACAAGAATTTGGAAAAACTGCAAAGCAACAAATAAAAAACTAGGCTCTACTGATCTGTATACAGTGTTTTATGATTGTCTTGATCTAATAAAAGGTATGCAAGGAGTATATGCTACTTGTTTGTAATATGTAAACAGGACAAAAAAACCAAAATTTGTCTTATAATTTACCTACATCAGTAGTAAATACTACTTTAAAACCGTGACCAGGCTTGAGAAGTCCAATTTAAGAAATTAAACCCATATTGTTAAACACAAAATGAAATTTCTTTGTAGGTATTCACTATAAAGATAAGCAAAAAAATACAGTTTTAAATTTTTTCTCTTAATCCATCATTTCTTCTATGTCATGCATAAAAAAAATAGAATTGTAGCTTGCACTGATCAATTTCATGTGTGCCTTTGCATCAGATGAAACTTGTATCTGTAACAATGTTTTATGGATAAGGTTGAAATCGTATGGGACACGCCTTCACCATTAGACAAACAATGACCAACTAAGGTTTTTTTTCAACTTCAGTCAACTTCCACAGATACAATTTATAAACAAGAAAGGAAACGTACAAGACAGATTATTACTCTCTAAACTGCTTGTCTCTGATTGGCTTTTAACTATGGGTTTATTCTGTTATTTATTTGATTTTATCTCGCTTTTTATTGTATCATAACCACAACCACATGTTTGTACCCAATGTTAAGCCAGTTAGACGCCTATGTACACACACATGCACTGCTTGTTATAGGCTTGCCGGGCCCAACATTTTGTTTTTGTTTGGATGCCATTTTGTTATTTTAATGCTCACATTTTGTGTTTCATTCGCTCAGAACCATTTTAGTTTGTTGTGCCATGTCTGTCGTGTTTTATAACTTTACTCTCACTTTGTGGAGTCTTGATTGTAATTTTTTTTCTGATATTTTTTTGGAAATACCTTTAAAAAACAATAGTGTTTTTCTGTAATAATGTAAATGAAGAAATAACATAAAACATATGACTTCTGTAAGAAAAGAAACTATTGGAAACTTAGTATTGATCTATTAGTCTAAACAAAAAAGCATAGGAGTTTTTTCAAGTTTAAGTTATGTTTTTATCTTTTCTACTTATCAATTGAATTTTCAACCTGTAAACAGTTATCGCTACACTACATAGTCTTCACTGTGTTTTGTCGACCAACAGACATGGTGGGGGGTAAACTTCGATATGGTGGACTGTATAAAAAATGAGGGATGTGAGATATATTATGTTAAGATCAGCTTTAGAGACACACTGTGAGCACAAAATAATAAACTTTTAAATAGGAAGAAATGTGATTTGGTACCTTCCTTTTTACTGAAGTGATGTCTAGTAGACCGTTGACGCACTTGATGTTTGCTGGCCAGCTTTCGCGTACGCGACCGGTAGTTGCACCAAGAACAGTTTGAATACAGTTTTTAACTATTCAGTTCACTTTTTTGTTAGGTGTGTCACAAATAAATACATAAGATAAACATACGATAATATAAGTTCAATTTATATGCCACAAATAGAGTAGGGGAATATTATAATACAAAACTAGGGAAAATGGCGAGAACATGATGCCGGGTTGAAGAGTACATGAGGAATGGGGGAAATTGCCAGACATCACGTGACAGGGCAAGGGTCAGAACAAAATATGAATGAAGTCTGGATTCACCTGGTTGCGTAGATGCTTGAATACGGAACATGCCGCCCGCCTTGAACCATACATGGTTCAACAGAGATTCATAAATTGATTCATTGACTCATAAATGGGCACAAGTAATACAATGTAGATATATATACACAATAGATAATGATGACACACCTAATTATAAGATATGATATATATGACAATTATAAATATAAACATGAAATAGGACATTAAATAGAAATATTTTGTGATTAGGGGAGCGGGTACACCTTGGTAGCAGGGCGACAGAAGATTCCTCTCGAAGTCTTGATGGAGACAACTCGAACGATGCCATCTGCTCCAGGTGATGTCTTCACAATGCGACCAAGAGGCCAGAGAAGTGGTGGTGTTTTTGGGTCATGGATAATGACTAAATCGCCTACTTCAAGATTCTTGTTTGGCTTTATCCACTTTTTCCTTTGTTGAAGCTGGTGCAAATACTCTTGGTGCCACCTTCTCCAGAAGCGCTGATGTAGAGCCTGAACTGTTTGCCAATGCTTTAGTCGATTGTCAGGAATATCGGATACATTTACTTCAGGTACTGCAACAAGAGATGTCCCGATGAGGAAATGACCTGGGGTGAGTGCTGTGATGTCAGATGGATCTGCTGATAGAGCTGTTAGTGGACGAGAGTTCAATACTGCTTCCACCTGCGTGACAAGAGTTATCAGCTCCATTAGTGTTAGAATTTGATCTCCAATTACTCTCTTGAGATGGTACTTTGAGCTCTTTATGGCACTCTCCCAAAGGCCTCCTTGGTGAGGCGCGGCTGGTGGTTGGAAATGAAAATTAATTGAATGATCGAGGGCAAAGTTCGTGAGAGCATCTTGAGTATTCCTTTCATCAATGAAATTCTGGAAGGTCTTATTCAGTTGCTTGGAGGCACCGACATAGTTCGTTCCACAATCAGAGTATAGGTGAGCACAAAGTCCACGACGAGAAACAAATCTTTTAAGAGCAGCAATGAATGAGTCCACTGAGAGATCAGTTACAACTTCCAAGTGCACCGCTTTTGTGGTAAAGCAAACAAATAGGCAGAGGTATGACTTAAGCTTTTGAGAATTCCTAGTGGTGTGTACTTTCACTTCAAAGTGACCGCTATAATCCATGCCAGTATGATAGAATGGTCTTACAGGCCGTAGTCGAGTTTCGGGTAAGTCTCCCATAAGTGGAGGTTGATTTGTAGGTTTCAACTTAAAACATCTTTGACATTTAAAGATTACAGATCTGATTACACTACGAGCAGATAATATCCATACTTCTTGAGTGAGGATCGATTGCAGCAACTGAGGGCCTGCGTGTAAATATTTGAGATGATAGTGCATGACCAACAGTTTTACAACATTATGAGATTTAGGTAACAGGATTGGGTATTTGGCATCTTGAGTAAGGTTCGAATGTTTCAACCTACCGCCTACTCTTACCAAACCGTTATCGTCAATGTAAGGTGATAACCGAGCCAGTCTTAAGCTGCACTGAGTGCCCTTTTTCAGAGCTGTGATGTCATCCTTGAAAGATGAAATTTGAATGAGTTTGAAGAGATTCATTTTAGCAGAAGAGATCTCTTTATAACTAAGTTGTCCAGCTAGTCGGGCGTTCCCACGAAGATAATGGATGAATCGTAGAACATAAGCAGTGACATTTACAAGTTTTCTAAAGCATGGGAATTTTTCAAGTAAATCAAATCTGTCATTTTCTAACTTTTCAACGTTAACTAGGACATTCAAGGGATTTGGTTTGACTTCAAGAGTGTCTTGATCAGTGATTAAACTGAATTCGGGCTTTGGCCAAAGATCTGATGACAAGTATAACCATTCAGTCCCTTCCACCACAATTGGTGGCTTAAGAGTTGAGATGGGGAGAGTCCTCGGGTTGCACAATCTGCTGGGTTGTCTAGGGACTTGACGTAATGCCATGATTCAGGAGAAATTAATTCTTGTAGTTCTGAGACACGGTTGGCCACATAAACTTTTAAGCGATAGGGGTGAGTGCGTATCCATGTAAGAACAATGGTAGAGTCACACCATGCATACATCGAGTCAATCTTAATGTGGGACGAAAGAAGATTTGAACAGTATTGCAGGAGCTTTCCAAGTAGGTGAGCACCGCACAGTTCGAGACGAGGCAGAGATACTCTTTTTAGTGGGGCGGACTTAGACTTGGCCATTATCAGATTAATTTTAACATCATTCGATAAGTTGATCACACGGAGGTAGACTACTGCAGCATATCCTTTCTCCGAAGCATCGCTGAAACCATGAAGTTCTGCAAGCTTATGAGTTGAGGTAAAGATGTACCGTGGGATCCTTAGGTTTTGGATCACGGGTAGTTCTTCTAAAAGGAAATCCATTTTGTTCTTATCTCATCTTGAATTGGATCATCCCATTTTAGACCTGTGGTCCAAAGATATTGAATGAGTGTTTTAGCCCAAAATATTACAGGTGTGAGAAATCCTGGGAGATCATAGAGTTTAGCGATTGTTGAGAGAATCATTCTCTGGTTAGCAAGTGGCCTACTTCAACATTCTTTACTTTGTATGAGAGCATGTCTGTCTCTGGGGTCCCATCTTAAACCCAATACACTGTAGAAGGCCTCACTACCATCAGTCAACTCCACTGGTGATTCTTTGTGTTCGACTGGAATCTGATCCAAGAGTTGGGGTGCATTACTGATCCACTTACGGAGTTCAAAACCGCCTTTAGACAGCAATGTTTTCAGTTCATTTTGAGCTGACATAGCTTTATCGAGATCTTCAGCTCCAGCTATAATATCATCATAGAAGATAGACTTGGTCAAGATATCAGAAGCTTGTGGGTATGGTTGACCTTCGTCCAAAACTAGCTGGTGCAAGGTTTTGATTGCAATAAAAGGGGAACAATTAAGCCCATATGTAACTGTATTGAGTTTGTACGTTTGGAGTGGATCATCTGGACTAGCGCGCCAGTATATCATTTGATAACTTTTGTCCTTATCAGAAACCAAGATCTGACGATACATTTGACGTATGTCACAGGTGAATACAATTTTATGACATCTAAAATACAATAAAA